ATGAAGATACGTTTTTGTGATATTTAGAAAATGGCTGCCAGTAAAGCATATGAGTTGTTTTTAATGGATTACAAAATGCAATACCACTGGTATGGTCTTTTAACCATTCATTACTGTGACATTGTTAAAAACTTCAACACAATATCAAAATTTGGCAACTACCAATTCAACTAAAAACTCAAATGAAGCTGGATTCATTTGAACCCTTATCACAAACTGAAAGTGATGCAAATTTGTGTCTTTAGTTCTCTCTCTTTGTGGAGCTTTTGCATCTCTTTGTTTTCTGTGTATTTCATATTTTCAATATTTTTGCAAATGTGTGTGTTTTTCTACCTGCTTTGTATCTGTTGTACTTTTTGTGTCTATTTGTGACCGATTTTCATTTTGTTTGGTGTCTGTTTATAGTAGTTTCATGAATCTTTGTGGTGGTTTTGGACATTTTGTGGTCATTTTGTGTCTCTTTGTACTCGTACGTGTCTCTGTTGTAGTCTCGCGTCTCTATGAGATTTTATTGAGTCATTTTCTTTCTCTTTGTTGCCTTTTTCAATAAGAAGCTGCAGTAAGGTGAGCAGCAAGGGCCCCCCTGCCAGTTGATTCAAAGAGCCGCTCTGGCCCTGGTGCGCTAGCCCCTTGGGATCTTGAGCGTGGTAGGGCCGTTCTCTAATTTATCCATGTGTTGGTGCTGGATTGGAAGAGATGTGATGTTTTAGGAATGTAAAAAAAATGTAAACGTCCGTCCGTTGATGGTTAGGTTTTTGAAATGATCAATGTGAACTGGAATGCCACATAAAGCTCAAGGCTACCCCACAAATTTGATTTAGTAAAGACCATATTTGCTCATGGGGTGGTACTCGAGGCGGCAATACATATACACACACACAGCCTTAGATTGGGTCAGGGAGGCCCAAGGCAGTGAAGGAAAGTCAGTCTCAGATCCGGCTGGCTGCTGGGGCCCATGTTGAGGCTTAGTTCCGTTTACACTGGCTCTAATTACAACCGCATGAGGAGGACTCTGCTTCAGATGAGTCTAATCTAGCATTCCTCCACAGGCTATTTGTCTTCAGATTTTTAATGGATGCCACTGGTTGGCCCTGGCCTGACCTCTCCATCTCCTGCACTCTCTCATAACTGCCATCCATACTGTCTCATATAGCTTAACATGACCAATATTCCCATAATCACATGTAAGGAGGGCTGAAGCAAACCAGTTTAACCACAGAGAGACACTTTAGACCACTTTGGTTCTCCAGTTGACCTCCTGTTAGCAAAGTGGATTTCCAGGAGATAATGCCACTGACAGCAAGATTGACAGGTCTTTGTGGAGGAGATGCTTCCCTTTCCCTTTTGCATTTTAACAAAGGAGCAGAATGGTTGATGATAAACTGGATAACAATATGATGCCTGACTCTAAACTGGCATCAAATTTACATTTAGCCTGTAAAGCATTTTCAACTAAAGGTGGAAAACAAGGGGATGCAACCCTGTGGCGAATAGTAACTCAGTACATTTACTCAAATACTGTACCTGACGAAAAGTTGAGTTACTTATTTTCAGTTGATTACTTAAAGTTCTGGCTACCTCACACTTATTTCTTGACTTCAAATCAGAGGCAATATTGTATGTTTTACTTGACTACATTTGTTGTTGACAATTTGATTTACAGATGAATTACCCAAAATACAAGGAACACATATTGTATCATGTTTTGCTGACTTTGTTGATCCCTCTGTGAAATTCACAAGCTAATCTGCAGTTTATAGGCAAAATATATAGCCTACCAATGCTTTACCAGCTGCAACATTAAAGTGATGAAAACATGAATTAATCATTAATCATATCCATTAATAACATATTTATTTCTAAAACGGGCCTTTATGGTATCTTTTAAATAATTCTGTACTTTTCCTTTACAACGTTGACTGGAAGACTCCAAATTGTATTTTTAGTAGGCTTAGTAGGCTAGACCTCTACAGAGAAAGATTTTTACTTGGCATTTTTTAAGCAAATTAAATAAAAGATATGCGTGTATAGGCAGTAGAACATGCTTTAAATGCATTTCTTACCCAGAGCTTTCAAAAGTTCTTCAAACTGTTGTGAAGTCTTCATTTTCCATTTTCCTGAGAAATCTATTTTCTTCTCCGTTTCCATTATGTTTGCAGATTGGACGCCGATAGTGTCTGCAGACTCTCCGGTTCTCTGTCTGTGTGTCTGACTGTCCCCTCGGTTAACCGGGTAGTAGAGCAGTCTCCGCTGTCTGCATCTGCGCTGCACTGATTGGCTGACAGCTCTCCTGGATCTGATGCTGGTCCAGCCAATGCAGAGGCCGGGGACAGGGAGGGACTTTCCCCCTGGTCCTGAGTCAACCCTCCACTCCTGTCAGCATGGTGAAATATTTGGATACCAGCTGGAAAATGCACTTCCAGTAAGTCCTTTGATGTTGATGAGCAGCCAGGCCCCGACATTAAGTGTTAATTGATTTTTTTCTCTGGGTGATGCCAAGTGAATTGTCCCAGTGATTTGAGAAATAAGAGGTAATACAACCTAAATAACTTGGCAATTCAATACAAAACGATGACACTTTTCACTCTCATCTTAAGACATGTGTTAAGATATCAGATCTGGAATGTGAAATCAGATATCAGGGTTAATTAATTGTTTTCAGAATGGGGGGGTTGCAAAGCTGGTAATGAAAGAGCAAAAAGATAAGAGTTACAGCTGAAGGCATCTATCCAGGAAGGTACCATCAGCATATTTTCGGAATTAAAACTTTTAAGAGAGACACATCAGTCTAGTTTATTCATTGTTGGCTAATTGTAGAGTACACGCTCATTTCCCAACACTACTGCTTTATCTGAATTGAGTTACATCTCAGGTCTAAATGTTAAGTTTGTAAACAAACAGAGACCTAAGACACTGTTTACATTCTCATTGAGGTGAAACGGATCCCTCCTCTATTACTCTCAAATTACAATTCACATTGGCATTTAAAATACATTTTTTTAAATGAATACAAATGATTTCAAAACAAGAAAAAGTGTGTTAAATTAAATGTTGTAAAACCAAAATAAATGTCTTCTGTCAAATACAGCACAGTCATTTATCTAGTCAATATACACCCACAAAAGTGCAAATACAATACTGTTAGTCCAACAGAAACTGTAATGTTATGCTAGCAACACATTAGCTTCAGGCAGCTATGACAATGCTAGCTTGGTTAGCACAAAATACCTTAAATAGTCAAAAAGTGCTGTGAGAAGTGGAGTCTGACAGATAGTAGTACAACAAGGGCATGCTAAAGGTGGATAAAGAGGCTAAGTCACAACAATAGAAGGTATTTGTATTCCTGTATGTGTGACCAAAATGGTGGATGTAACAATTTCAACTAAACTGTGCCAGTTGCTAGCAACATAATATCAAACAAAAAATTCCCCAGCGCAACGTTTTAATTAAACCAACCCATTTAAAAACATCTGAAAAAATAGCTGTACGGTCAGTTGTTCGAAGGCCGAAACACAGGATATCAATGCTTTTGTTAGTTGCCACTTATCTATAATATTCCCTTTCAAAGCAGGTGTCGTCATCATCACTTGATAACGTCTCTCCAAACTAGAGAAAGTCTCTATCAACCAAGGACAAAGATGTTAGGCAGGTTGTGCCTGGAATGAATAACTTGGCCTTGCACACTGCCAAAACATAGAAACAAATGTATTAAATTGAGGTGAAGAAGAAGTGTGCTCATGTGCACAAATTATTAAATCAATGTCTCAAATGTTGTAACTGTTTATGGCCATGTCTGATTTAGGTAAATTAGAAAAAATAAGTACATTTTTCAAATGTTCCCCTCAAGTACTATTGATGTAATAGCACCCCATGTGTACAACAAGTAATTGTCAGAGCCTTTATGTGCAAACTTAATTTTCCATAGTGAGTCTCTCTCTGTTCTTTCTTACTCCAACGCATGCGCTCAAACCTATGGCTCAAACACTGCCAAGAATATTTCATCAGGTGTGGATCAGAAGAGATACCTCTGGAAACATGATGCAGGGCATTCATCCAACAAAAGGAGGCATGATGTTATCAGCGCAGGATTGTCTCAAGCATTCCTCCCCGTGGCACCATCCAGATACTGTCCCCTATTACAGCAACACAGGGATTAACCTCACCAGGTATTTTATACAGAGGGGGAATCTAAAAGCACTTTTGAATGCAAAGTAGGCATACCATCCAGGGCATTATTAACCACTGGCTGGCCTCAGACTGGCAATACACAGAGGACAACAGCAGCTCATGGCTGGGAAGAAGAAGAGGAGAATGGCCCTGGTGAAAGAATAACACTGGACACTGCTGTCCCTGTTGCTATGACAACTGGTATAGTTTCATAATCTGTGATTCCCCTGAAAGCAATCTCCCTTTATAAAAACTATGATAACTTCCGTGGCTCCCTGTGCTTTGGGGAGGGAACATTACCTCAGCATTCATACATGGTGACTACCATTATTGCCCCCCCATCTCTAAAACAACAATATTAAATTATATTTCAATGTATAGTATAGAACCTACCAACACAATGTAATATTATGGTATTTAGGAAATTATGAAGTTTAGTATAAATACACTGAATAATTGAGCTGATGTTCATATACAGCAATTATACATATAGACATACATACATACAAACATAAATTATATGTTCAAGAAATAACATGTAACATGTAGAGGAAACTCATATGTAAACTCCAAACTACTGTTTGTGTAATTATAATTCATTAATAATTAATAAATTATGTTACGTATATTCATTGTTCTATTTTTTTAGTTTTGTTTCCTTTGTATATGTATTGTTGGGCAAATACATCTGGAGTATTCGACAAAAAAATAACAATGACAGGTAAACTCCCATGGTAAACTTCAACAAATGACAAAGGTCATTCATGAACATGGGTAAAGCGTCCCCTAGCGTTGATTTAGGGTAAAGACTGTTTATCTTGGGCTTTCTTGGATACGGAACCTTTGTTTGTGCATGTTTCCAGTCGGTTTGGATTCATACAAGCACCGGATTCATAATGTCGAGGCACCTTCGTTTCATTTCGCGGACAGTGATGGTCCAAGACATCAACGTTGAACAGGCGTACAAGACTTTAACCAGGTCAGGTTCATGCTTTTAATATGAAACATTTTTTAAAGACAACTGTTATCTATTGGACGACAAGCTAATGTTAGCTAAGTTAACGTTAGCCTTCCGCTCAATGTCACAGAGCTGCGCCTGCGCATTCGTTTTAAGGAGAGCAAATATTGTTTACACGCTTTTAGATGTTTTTAGGGATTTTGTGAGTTAGACAAAGAGGTAATGAGGATAACGTCAACACTTCATTAAAGGTGTTTCAAGTCTAGAGCATGTTAATCACCATACTAGCAATGTATGACATTGTGTCGTACTATATCATGGCCAAGAAATTCGACTGAGCATAATAGCAATCTCACATTGAAACTGAAGTTTAAAATATCAAATTCCTCCATGAGTTGTTTAATAAACACATCTGATAGGTAAAGTTTAAATAATCAATTAAAATTAAAATTAAAATTCATGGAAAGTATTGGTCGATGAAAGCAGTCTCGATGCTGTCCTAGCTTTGATTATGTTCTTTAAAAATAAATGTGTAAACATTACCTATGAGAAAATTATAAATCCATTGAACGTTTTCTATGCACTACTTTTACATTTCAGTTGAATGGGCTGACTGAGTCTTTAGTATTAGCTATTAACATTTACCTGTTGGGAATGCAACCCCAAGTGTCAGCTCTTCACATGTTTTCTCTACATACCCCAGGCTTCTGACTCGGGACGGCATTATTGAAACAGTGAAGCGCAAGCGGTACTGCGAGAAGCCCTGCCAAGAGCGTCAGCGGAGGAGCTTTGAGACCTGCAGGCGGATCTACTCAACAGAAATGGGCAGGAAAATTACCTTCATCTCCAGGAAAAACCGAGAGGATCCCTGGCTTGGCTGCTAGTGAAATGGAGTATGATGAAACATGACATTTTCTATGGACCTGTTGAGATAGGGCCAGCAATGTGGAAAACCCCATCAAGATCATGTCCCTTGCTTCTAAATGGACTTTGGTAATACTGATGACTGTATTTCATTGTTCAACAGTAAAAGGAATACGATGTGTATATGTGCATTTATTGTCAAGTCAACTTTGGATTTTTGTTTTTCATTTTCTCCACAAAAAATGTGACATTAAAAATTGCATTGCTTGTATTCACTTTTGGTTGTGATGAGCAGATTAATGACAACTTGTTTGAAGACATTTTGTATCTTGAATCTTCCCACATAACCTTGCTATTGAAAAAGCTCATAAACATTGGACCATTTACCATAAAACCTTTTGGTGAACAAGAATTTCTCAGCTAAACTTATATTTAAAAAAAGTCCTCTTATAAGTAAAAAAACCAAGATTTTCAGTTTTACATGATGTAAAATAGAGAAAGGCAGGAAATCATCATGTCATATGTTAAAGAGTGAAAGAAGTGCTTTCTGACATTTCTGCATGAAAAATGATAATTAACAATTATTATCAAAATAGTTGGCTATATATTTTTTAGCTGACTTACTTGATGAAGCTCTGCATACCAGTATACCTTGCAAGTTGGATGTGACTTAATCGGCTGGATGAACTCAACCAATGCGGGTTAGTTTTTGTGTGGGGCTCGGTCAGCAGTGTTGCCTGCTGTTAATTAATTTAAGGTCACGACTGCACAGTATGGTGTTATACCCGCAGAGGAAGTCGACCACCTCCCATAAACTTCATTAAGTGAGCAATATTGGCCACACAAATCTGTCAGACCCCGAGCTTTAGCCACAGGTGGCTGTAATGTTTGCTCTAGTTTTCATAACACAGGGGAAGTTAAACATTTGCAGCATGTTCATTTGTTTCAGAGGTTGATGTCCTGTTGAATGTTAGTCAATGGGTGTCCTTGTGAGGAGTCTGAGTACTGAAGTTAGCTTTTAGATAAAAACAGTTAAATGAATATTTCATGCTGTCTACTCTATTAATATAAATCTGTAATCCGTAAGTGTTTTATATCAGCCAAGGGGAGCACATAAGGTGTTGGGTCTGTGTTACTCCTGCTGTCTTTATAACCAACACATCCTCACTCCCAGGTCGGCCTATGATGACGTTATGTCAAGTCCTGTGTCGGCTTTTTCCAACGCCAGGGGGGGGCCTTAGCGTCCATTTTCAACGCAAGAGGGGGGCCCTTAGCGTCCATTTTCAGCTTTCCGGGATGTCCATATGCTTCTATGGACGCTCATGGAAGCACGGCATTCGTTTGTGTCGACTGCCCTTAAAGGCAATGTGAGCGTCCATTCTCATTGGATAACGGAGAATTGTACACCCGGAAGTAAGTATTCCCCTTACTGTCGATTGAGTTTACAGTGATATCTGCACTACTCATCGACTAAAAAACACCAGATTATCCTTGTTAATTACACAACATTGATTGGTTTAAATTGTGTGCAATGCTTTTGTATTTTTCCCCTTCGATTCGGAGAAACAAATATTTTTTCGGAGTAAAGGATGGCAGAAGACACTACACTACCCAGAATCCCCAGCTATCATTTGGACTACACCATGTGCTCTGTTTGATGTCACGTGATCTTCAAATTTCTCCCTGCAGAAAAAAAAAACATGGCCGAACTTCGTTTTATTCTCGGTGGAAAATGCCTATTTTAGAGTTAGTTTGGCCATTAAAATGCGTTTTGATGTAATTTGATGCGAGAAATATGAGTTGTTATTTCAGATTATGTGTGCAGTGGATGTACATGATCTTTAGTTTGCTAGTTATTACGAAGATTACTTCAGGAAATTGCGTCCATAACGTTTTCATTATTACCAAGGTGGTTGCTAGGGACGCTGCTATCGATATTATTTCTGTTATGTTGTGTAACTGTTTAATGGTGTTATCTTTATTGCTACCCCCTTCCCCGTCAATGTATAGTGTTGGTCCACAGCGCAAACATATTAGTTTAACAAAATCCGCATCTAAAGATACGTTATTTTCCCCTGTGCAATTCCAGTCTCACATCTCAGAGCACATCGTCATTAACAAATACCGGAAATAGACCGAAAACATTTAAAAAAATTAAAAAATAATACTTTATTCCGAGTGTGCTTGCTTTTCTCTTTGAAAGTCATCACATACCGGCATTGTAATACACGGTTCGGCTGCATTAAACATTACATATCTGCCGTAGTTCTGTATTTATAGAGCCCTGATGAGAAGACTTCTAGACAAACATGAGGAACTGAAAACGTGACGTGGATCATAAATATATCAGCCATTAAACAACATCTTACATTTCTTTTCACACAATACGTTTCCTTGCAGTATCAACACTAATTCGGCTGACTTTTATATTTGATCCAATTGGTAGATAGGCTGTATTTACACCATAAAGGTGCACAGCTGATATAAAGGGACACCTAGTGGTTAAAGCATGTTATTGAATTTCATTATTTTTATTATTAGATATTAATAGGATCCCTATAAAGTATATTCATTACTCGTTATTCTCTACTAATAGTTAATTAAAGACTGTATATAATGACTATTTTGCACATCCCTTTCAAGATTTTCTAAGGTTTATTGACATATCATATAGGCCCACACAACTATGGTGTAGTTATGCATTGAATGAAAAACTTGTGTCGCAGGTTCCTCAATAGTGCATTACAAGACATCTATCAATATTTGTGCATACCTCCAGCAATGTTAACTATGTTGAAGCACTTATTTTAACTGATATTATACATAATGTATTATACTCTTATAAGATGTATGTAGATATTTCATCTCCGGCCTTGTCAGGTATTGAACAATCAATAAATAAAGAACACAGAATTGTTGAATATAAAACACAGAATTTGTGTGATTATACTAAATGATTTACAAATAAACACCACTGCATATTTAACTGTTACACATGCTGATGTAACGCAAATGTTCCAACTTGGGATCAATAAAGTATATCTTATCTTAAGCTGATCGATGGCTACTGCCATATTTGCAAAATGTGCCTCTGAACCTTGACAAGTGCATGTTTCAGGCTTATCAATTAATGTAATGTAATGTTATCAATTAACAACAGGGGTCACAAACATAAGACCAGCTGTTAAATAAAGCTCTTCTGACCTTAGCTGGCATAATGCTGCCCATTATGGGCACAAGCAATTTTCACCTATTTATTAATTATATGTTTTAAATGTGAGTGTTTCCTATCCCCTAAACCTCCAGGGATGTACACAGTTTAATACTGGCAACTTCTTATTATGGGAAATACGAAAACGTCTTTTAAAACTACAACTCCCAGTAGAGACGTGCCATAGATAGAGAACATGTTGCGAAACAGAATAGCCAGCATGTGTAGTTCTGGGGACGGGGTGGGGGAGGGGGGGGACGCGGTGGTCCCGTTCAAATCCAGTTTTGGACAGTCTGCCGTTCGAGGCTTGGCGTAACCCTCGGAGCACACTCTCCAATCACAGAGCTTGAGGACTATCACGGGGTTTGTCAAACAGAGCACATGGTGTAGTCCAAACGATAGCTGGGGATTCTGGGTAGTGTAGTGTCTTCTGCCATCCTTTACTCCGAAAAAATATTTGTTTCTCCGAATCGAAGGGGAAAAATACAAAAGCATTGCACACAATTTAAACCAATCAATGTTGTGTAATTAACAAGGATAATCTGGTGTTTTTTAGTCGATGAGTAGTGCAGATATCACTGTAAAATCAATCGACAGTAAGGGGAATACTTACTTCCGGGTGTACAATTCTCCGTTATCCAATGAGCATGGACGCTCACATTGCCTTTAAGGGCAGCCGACACAAACGAATGCCGTGCTTCCATGAGCGTCCATAGAAGCATATGGACATCCCGGAAAGCTGAAAATGGACGCTAAGGGCCCCCCCTTGCGTTGAAAATGGACGCTAAGGCCCCCCCTTGCGTTGGAAAAAGCCGACACAGGACTTGACATAACGTCAACATAGGCCGACCTGGGAATGAGGATGTGTTGTTATAACAAACAGGTTGGGCATTATTGTGATTGTGAAACTTGCAAATGTTTTTTTTGGCCCTTTCCCAAGTTTCGCATTCAAAAACACTGACACTTTCCTATCACTGGAACAGAACAAACAACATGTGGGCAGAAGGAAAGCACATCACTGCTTTAAATACCTTTTTTGACCGCTACCTGTACAGTACACTCAAAAACCTGATCACACCTGATTAGAAACACGGCCAGCAATTCTCTGTCCTCCCTGAACATATCCAACAGCAACAGTATTACACTTTAATGTTGTCTAATTTCAAATGTCTAATTAATATGAGACTCGGCTTTTAGAGATGGCCACAATCCATGACCACTCATAAATGTGCCTTGTGTGAAAAGCCAATTTTAACTTATTATCTCCACCAATGCAAAATAGTGTACCTTCATAATGAGTTAGGAATTATTTTCTTATTCTTAATTATTTTCAATATCATCAACCAAACTTGCATGTACTTTTTTGCAGCATAAAGACCTGTCAGTATTTGCCACTATTGTTTGTACTTCCTCTTTCACCTGATAGCTGTTTGTTCTGATCATATCTATACAAATATCTGTTTTGCAATCAAAACATCTTGGAACAAAATGTCCTTAAGCTAAATGTAGGAACATGAATCCTGCCTGTTTTCATAGATCTCCTGATAAAAAAAGAACACACAATCTAAGGAACATCTTCGATCTGCCGATACTGTACTGTATAATCACCCATTGTGAGAATGCTTGGAAACGGATTTGTCTTGGGAGCTCTGGGCAACTTGTATTAAGTAATTTGTGTAGCAATTACAATTCAATATGGTTTAAACTATAAATGTATTTCATACCAGTCTCGTCAGTGGGTTGACTGCCTTGCCAGTACCTGTTACTTGTTCCCTGAACAAATAAAACTAATTATCATTTGACATTATGATCATCATGACCATATGGCTGTTGTTTTGTAAGCAACCTTGGTAGCTATTAAAGTATTTGCCTCAGGCTCCTGCAGGTAACAGCATTTTATTTTTGTATCCAACAAAAAGGTATTTATTCTTTGGCAAATTGCAATGGTAATATGTAAGGCTGTGTCCCAAGCTATCTTTCCTCTGATAGGCCTATGATGCATCATCTCATAAACGTCTCGGAGGTCGCATTTGGCTTAATTTGCTGAAGGGTTGTGCACTACTCCTTAAATGTACAGCCATAAATGCGCTTAAAA